AAGAGTGTAAGCATTCTCTAATGTGAGGCCTGCTGTCTCTCCAGAGTACCTCTTAACTAGGAGTTCTGCTATTTGCAGCCAGTCCCTACCCAGTCCTGGAAAGTTAGGTAAAGAACATTTTTTCTTGATTCTGTCAACCAATAAAGTGAAAGAACAGCTAGGGATAAACTGGTGAGTATATTTTAGAAGAAGAATGATGACACACAAGCAACATGGGTGTTTTAATGTTGTAGGTGAGTGCAGTGGTAGGAAGTGAAGACTCTCCATAACATTTTTTTTTTTTTGGTAATAGTGTACTATTTTTAGAACCTTATGAAAGCATCTATATTAATATTGATAATATATGTGCTATAGATATTAAAATCCTATCTCATATCTTACCTGTTATCACAGAGTTTGAAATGTTTTAGATTATTTAAATATATTAAAGCTAAAGCACAGAAATACTGGCGCTTTACACAGTTAACTCAGTCTTCAGATTCTTCCTGTTGTCTTTTTACTAGAAACAGTTTTAGGCCTGGAGTAGACTTTAGTCTTAATGTACACTTTGCAAACTTGTGCACACATGTACATATATGTATGCGAGTTGGAAGGTGGTTACTGCTTTTCAGAGAGACAGTTAACTTGGTTAAGATCATACAGATAGTTAATGGCAGAACTGGAACTGGAACCCATATCTCCATCTGAATTTTAATGGTTTTGGCTTTCTTTCTATCGTATGGGAGTTATTGAATGGTTTCACAGAAATTCCAGATGATTGGTTGTTTTACAGTCCAGGTTTTTCAAAGACACCTTGCATATATATTTTTACTAAGTCTTTAATATTTTTTATTTAGGAATATTATGCAGATTGCTTCAAAATTGAAAGCTTTTGTTTTTTGTTTTTGCAAGGCAAAGTAACTGATAAAGGTTAGGAAAGGGTAAAGTAATTAATTACATTCATTAATTAACTGGAAAAGAATTTGCTTTATAGTAGTTCCAGGCCATCAGGAAGTATATAGAGAGATTCAGTTACTTCTTTTTTTTTTTTTTTTTTCTTTTTCTTTTTCAGTTCTTAACGATGATCTACTGAATTAATTACTTTCATAATGTTTTAAAAATTAAAATTCTGGTTCTGTTATAATTTTCATCATAAAGTTTTGAATTTGATGTGAAAATTATATGCTTTGTTTCACTAAAATTATAAATTTTACCACTGTGTAAATGGGGTTTTAAATGTTAATATTCACTGTAACTTGCCTTTAGATAATTTAATAATTACTAATTATTCAAATACAATATCAAACTGCTGAGCCAGAGATGGTTTGTAAAATTGATCTTTGGCATATAAAAGACTGGCTGTTGGTGCTTAGCAGCCTCCTACAATGTCATGGTCTTAATTTGCATTCTAATTTGTAATGAAGGAATGCTGAGTGAAGGGCATTCCACCGCCCTCAAGTTTTAATCAGGTGTGTGGTCTAACATTTTTTGCCTCTTTTTAAGAGTATCAGAACTTGTTTAGAACATGAAATTTAAGAATTGATGTGAATGTTTGACCTAGTGGTCCATTAAGTGTTTTAACTACTTAAACTTATATTTTAAGTTATTTGACTTGTTGACATTATGAAGGAAATGGTTATATATTCTCATAAACTCCATGGTTCTCAACTGTGGGTACACATTAGAGTCACTGGGGAGTTTAAAAAATTTCAATGCCCAGGGCTTCATCCTATGCCAGTTTATCTGTCCTGCTTTAAACCCAGTCTCTACTGTTTACCTGATTCTGGTTCCCAGCATCTGAGGATGGATCTGTCAGCTGAAAAGCTCCCAGACCACATGTGTCTGAGAAGCTGGTTCTCCTACTAAAATAGCCTAGTTTGAAAATCAGAGTCTTCAGATACTCTTATATGCTCTTCCCCAGGCCTTAGCTCATTCTGTCCCCCATTCCTTTGATCTCTTGGGCATTAAGCCTTTTCTCTGGTGATTTTAGCTCTGGTTCTGTTTTCTCAGAGATTCCACAATTGAAGGCTTAATCCAGCTGTAGTCATAGTGACTTCAGCCTCTGTCTTGCCCTACAGAGGCACCAGAACAATGGGGATTTTGCCCACTTGGGATCTGGAGTCTTGTCAGAATACTGCTTTTGTCCCCAGGACTAGCCCAAGATAAGATTGAAAATGGAAGAAATTTGTTTCTGGACCCCAAATTCTCTGCTCATGTGTACCTGATTATACATAAAAAGCCATTAAATCCATGCCAGATTAAACTTGTTGAATAATAGTCAATCTTAGCAGGTTAATAAAGGTAAAAGAAACATAAGTAGAGGGTGGTGGTGGTAATCTCAGCTAACGTCTAGTGTCCCAGGCTTAAGGCATGGTTCCTAGAGAGTATTATAAAACAATGTAAGAGAGCATTTAAATGAAATTTGGGGTCAAAGACTGTTTAGAGATGAACATACCTGTTTCTGAAGTTGGTGTGTTCTGGCAGAGGTACTATACAGAGAGTCAGAGAGCGTTTACTTCAAATTAAATTGTATCTGGTAAGGTAAAACCTTTTTCCTTTGGAATTTGTTCAGAAATGGTTTAGGTGTTATCCCCAGAGTTTTTGGTCCTATGAGAGTTTCTTGGGAATGAGGAAGGGTTTGCCAGGATATTCTGAAAAAAACATTTTAGGCATCAAGTCTTTTGTGGGTTGTAAATCTCAGATTCTTAATTTAATGTTATTGGAGGCTTTCAAAGGACAAAGAACCAAGTTGCAGAGTTTTAAACTCAGAGGCAAGGTAGCATAGAAACTAATAAACTTTCTAATCTAAATATTATTCAGTTCAGAATGCACTGATAAATCCTTGACTTATACTTTATGGTTTTGTCTCTTAATGGGTAGAATAGTTGATGGAGAAGTAACAGGGGTCATGAGCCATGTCATATTTGTCATGTTGAGGTTTGTTTTAGCTTGGGAGGGGAATCATCAGAAATAGGCCCGAGGTTTTAGGAAATCAGATTTCACAAATATTTAGGGAAATGCTCTCTCATGACCCAAGTCTTGGGCCATAACTGGGAAAATGGCTTGAGAATTTGAGGTTTTCAAAAATGAAATTCATGGGGACTTCCCTGGTGGTCCAGTGGTTAAGACTGTGCTTCCACTGCACGGGCCGCAGGTTCAACCCCTGATCAGGGAACTAGGATCCTGCATGCTGTGTGGCGTAACCCCCCGCCCCCCCAAAAAAGAAATTCATGATATATAATCAGAAATTAACACAGTGAGGAAAAAATGGAGACAAAAAGTAATGGATACATGCTATTTTGTGATCTCTCAAAGGTTGTGAGAAGAGTACAGTATACCTAAGTATGAAAGAATACTAAAGTCTATAAAAATAGTGTTAGAAAACCTCCATTTCCTAACCTGAGCTCTTGACAAGTGCTAAGGCTAACAAAAGGATTTTGTAAAAATATTTTGATAGCAAGACCAAAGGCTCATTACATGGGATCAGTGATGTAACAGAGTAAAAGAAGAATCACTCTTATCTCATTCTTTCTCTTTTTATTTTTCATCAAATAAAATAACCTTCAAACAAGAAAAGACAAGAGGAAATAATCCCTGATAAGAGGGAAGTGAAGCCTTAGATAAGGGGATTGATTGTACAGGAGTACCCAGCTGCCTTAGCAGTAAGTTTAGTTGCTGATATAAATGATCTTTTAGAGATACTGAGAGATCATGATGATAAGTAATGCTTGAATAACTGTGTAAGACAGAGGTAAATTGTTTTTCTAGAAGGAAAATGAAGAAAGTGGATTCTCCCTTACAAAACATAGTGAACTTGATGTTGATGAGGCACAAGATTTTAGAATGTGTTATTAAAATTTACTTTTTAAATCACAGGAAGTAATGAACATTAGGAGCTGTTATGGATTCATTAAAACAAAAATGCCTGAACAACTTCAGTTCCTCTCTTCGGTAGGTTTTAGCAAGACTAGAAGAACAAAAGAGTATAAATAAAGTATTATATCTTGTTGGACAAGATGAAGAAATGTGGGTAGAATAGTACAGTCAGGTAAACATGTAAATAATTATAGAATTCAAGTATTGGTATGATATTACTCATAATATGTCACATACTATCTTTTAGTAGAACATGACAGATATTCTTGACTTTGACCTATTCAAGTCATTGTTGATGACATATAAAGGCACAGTGATCTGATGATTAAATTGGACAAGGACATGAGATGGGTGTGGGGCAGGGACTAGTAATACGGAATGATGAAGACAGCATCTAAAATGATCTCAGCTGACTGAAGTGATGTGCCATATCTAACAAGATGAGTTATAGTAAGGACAGGTACATTTGCATAGCATTTTGTACTTTACAAAACACTTTTACACCCCTTGTCTCACCTGGTTTTCAGAAGAACTCAAAGAGATAGAGATAGTGGTATGCATTATCCTGGTTTTACCAAGCAAAAAACTAGGATTCAGTTTTTCACTTAAAGTCACATTTTCTTTGTTGTGGTGCTGGTGGTGGTGATGATCTGTTTTAGTTTTTTTTTTCTTTTTTTCCTTTCTGCCCGGAATTCAGATTTATGCTGAGAGCAGTGAATGAAGAATGTTTTATGCCTTTTTTTGGTCTGTTTTTACAGCTGTATTGAGGTATAATTAACATATGATAAATTGTATCTATTTAAAGTGTGGCAAGCTTTAATATATGTATATATTTGGGAAACAGTCACCACAATTTAAAAAAAGTTATTTATCAAGTTTAGAAGTTTTGTTATATACCTTTGTAATTTATCCCCTTTTCCTCCTCCTTCCTTCCCTCTTTCTTTTTTCTTTTTTTTAATCTATTTATTTATTTATTTTTGGCTGCATTGGGTCTTTGTTGCTGCGTGTGGGCTTTCTCT